TTTTGGGGAGGGAATGTCTAAACCCTTGAATTTCCTGGTAATAGAAGATTCTTTGTTGTTCACATGCCCCATGGGCCATAACTGAGTTCATATGAATGAATGACTCAGAATGGGGCCAGCTGGTGGCCAGCAAGGGCACCCGAGCGGTTCTTAGAGGCCACCAGGGCTCCACTCAGAGCTATTGGGGCGGGTTGGGGGTCAAACCCAGAGCCTAGCAAATGCCACACTCCAACCCTTTGACCCATTTATCCAGTCTGTCAAAGTCTCTTTATTTTGTTTGATTCAAGGTATCTTCTGATTTGCATTAGCATTTTTATTTTGACTTGTGATATTTTACAGCTGTTTAAAAATTTCTAAATACAGGTATATGCCCTTTGCTATTCATTTTTAACTTATGTATGTTTACTTACAAGATGACTGTAAACAAATAATTTTCAAAATGTATCAAAACTTTCTATACAGCCCAGTAAATGGCCTCCCCACCGCACCCCGTTTTTTTACAGGGCGAGGGACGACACCCAGATATCATGCATGCAAAGCTGGCACTTTACCTCTCAGCCACATCGCTGGACCTAAATGTCACTTTCAATAAAACCCTAACTTGGTCAAGCACTGCGAGGCATGCACCCTCACCCCTGCTCTATCTCCACAGCCCACTGTTTACTTTTTCCACTTCTTCTGCATCACTGAAATCTGACACATTTTCTCACACAGGACTAAGCAAAGCATCAAATGCTCAATATGTAAAGAGAATTAAAAATAATATTAAAATCTTGTTAGGGAAAATAATCAGGGAGTAAACCAATAAGAAATAATATAATATTATAAAAGCTTCTAAGTACACTAACATCTTAAAAGTTATATCCAAATTTAACAGTTCCAAACAGTTATCATTCTCTATGCAAGTTGTAACTAAAGAATTTCATTCCCATGACTGCACTCTCTGGTGATTTCTATGTCAAAAAAAAAATTTAGATCCAAGACATAAAATGCAAACACAAAAGCATTCTTCCCAAACTATTTCTGACTTACTCCATATTTTGAGTTCCCTCTAAGTTTACTAGTTTTTTCTTGTGATTTCTTTAATAAGAAAGGTAGTATGTTATACACATTACATATATTAACTCAACATGCTGTATAAAACATAAGAGTATATGTTATATATATTTTATACGAGTTACTAGCTTTTAAGAAGAAAGATTTTTTCTTATGTATAATCTCCTAGAACTAAATCTTTAGAAAATGAAGAAGCACTACATATTTTTTAAAGAAAGCTGTTAAATATTAAATTAACTCAAGTGAACAGAAAACACAAACAGATCATTAACCTAACTATTAAGTAGAGGTCAATGAGATGAAAATAGGATTTAGGTGAGGGTGGTGTGGAGGGTAATTAGGTAGTGGAGTCATGAACAATTTAGGCTTTGGTGCATACTCTTCAAAATAGCCCGGCAAGCTACCGAGAGTATTCGATATGCCAAACACAGTAATAACAAAGTCTCCAATGGAGACGTTACTGGGCCCGCTCGAGCAAATCGACGATCAACGGGAGGGTCTTTACCTTTTACCTTACCTTTAAGAACTTACTCATTTCCTGCTTATGTAATTTTTTTTTAAAAGTGGGCAATCAGACCTCCTCTAACCCCCAAAGAATGGGAGGGGGAGGAAAGGAAGAAAGGAAGAAATGGTAGGAAGTTGATAAACTCAGAGGATAAACTGGAACTGTCTGAGATGCCTAGAATGCAAATCACTGTATAAACAGTTGAAGGAAAAAAATAAAAGAGGGCAAATCAGAAGAGAAGCACTAACTGAAGATAAATGTATGAACTGTAGGGGCTAGGAGATAGCACAGGAGGTAGGGGTATATAAATTCAACCCGTGTTTGATTCCAGGCTTCCCTGGCCCCCCAGCATTGCTGGGTAGCCCAAGTGGTCCCTGGTCCTGCAGGCTCGGGCAGCACTACATCTCTGGCCCTAATAATGAGCCCTCTGGTGCAGCTGAAGTGACCCCAGGTCCCTCAAACACTGCTTGGGAGACCCCTCTCCCAAAAAAAGATATGTCTTACAGGGTTGGAAGACGTCTCAGAGGTCCAGAGCACACGGTTTGTGTGAGTGAGGCCCAGTTCAATCCCAGCACTATCAGGCGTGGCCCCCAAACCATTGAATTTTCATTTACATTATAGAACATGAAAAGATGCTTAAAACTCTTACAGCATATTCTCCCCACATTACTGTATACAATTGTTAAATATGTATAAAATTGTTAAATATGTATCCAAAGTGGGGGTGGGGTGGGGTGGGGTGGGGAACAATGCTCTCTTAAAAACTTAGGTATGGGGGGTAGTGAGACAGTTAGAGGGGTTATGGTGCTTGCCTTGCGTGCGGCTGACCCTGGTTCAATCCCCAGCACCACGTGGGAGGGGATGGTCCCCTAAGCACCAACAGGAACGATCCCTGAGCAAGCAGAGAGCCAGTGTGGCCAGACAAAAGCATGAAACACAAAGAGAACAAAAAACTGATTAAAAATATGAGGATCCAGGTGTGTGACTCGGTGTTAAAGAGTTCCTGCCAGGTATGTGTCAGGCTCTGAATTCATTCTCCAGCACGGCCCCTAATCACTGAGGGTGACACCTAACAAGTGTGCAATCCCGGGATTTCTTGGTGCTGGATCGAAGCACACACAAGGCAAGTGCTCTCCTGTGACACACCCTCCCCAGCCCCGAGGCTCTGCTTTTGCGACCCCTCACTTTCAAACTATCACTCGGAGCCCCCCCTTTGTAATTAATTTTTACAAAACTAATCACAATCAAGATATCTGTTAAATTTTCTCAACAACTGTAACTCTCAAAAGTCTAAACCTTTAATTGTGGCATTAAAATTCTCCTTGTCGAATCCTGACTGAGCAGAGCCAGGTGTGGCCCAAGAAAAGAAGAAAACATTCGAGATTTTTAAAGAAAAATTATTGGAAGTGTCATTATTTGGAAACACAAAGTGAGGTTGGGGAGAGAGCACAGTGGCTGGGGTGCCTGACTTGCACACAGAAGACCCTGCACTCAATCCCTGGCACCCCCATATGTGTCTATTTGCTCCTTTGAGACCTATTTTGACTTCCTAATAGATCTGTAATAAGCGTTTTTAAAAATTTGTATTTATTTTCTTTATATATATTATTTTCTTTAAAACACTGCAATCTACAAAACTGCTCATTAATACAACTGTTTCAGGCATTTAGTGTTCCAACCCCACCTGTATGACCTTCCCTCTGCCAATGTCCCCAGTTTCCCTTTCAGCCCCAACCTGCCTCCTTAAGCACATGACAAATTTACTTTATGTTGCTTGCCCCAACAAAACTTAAAGAAACGGCAAATAGAATGATCAGAAAAGAAATCGATAAGAGCCAATTTGTGATTGCTATACTATTTTAACCTATGTAAACAAGGAAATTAAAACCACTTAATACAATATAAAAATATCTATTTTCATTTCCACATGGGCTGGAGCGATAGCACAGCGGTAGGGCGTTTGCCTTGCACGCAGCCAACATGGCCGACCCGAGTTCGATTCCTCCGCCCCTCTCGGAGAGCCCGGCAAGCTACCGAGAGTATTTGATATGCCAGACACAGTAACAACAAAGTCTCCCATGGAGACGTTACTGGGCCCGCTCGAGCAAATCGATGAACAACGGGAGGGCCTTTACCTTTACCTTTACATTTCCACATGTAAGTTTTCAACTCTGGATCTAAAGTACATTGCATTAAATTTTTATACTTGGATCTATTCCGTAATAGGTTTTAGTGTGTTCTGATCACTGTAGTAGTCTCCATCTTTTTCTTTCTTGAAATAATTGATTTCTTTGACCCTGTTCTTTAGGTATACTTCTGTAATTATATTTCTTTTCTTTTTTTGTAATTTTTTTTGTGTAATTTTTTTCTTTCTCTACTTTTTTTGGGGGGATGGGGGTATGGCCACACCCAGTTATGCTCGGGGCTTACTCCTAGGGCTCTGCACTCAGGTTATCACTCCTAGTGGGTTTGGGGGGTGAAGGGGGACCATATGGAGTGCCAGTGGGTCACCCTCATGCCAGTGGGTCACCCTCATGGAGGCAAGTGTCTGAGCTGTTGTACTATCTCTTTGTTCCCTAAAATAAAGTCTATTTCCAAAGAACTATAATTCTAAGAGCAACAATTTCTTTCTTTTTTTCCTTTTTTTTTTGTGAAACAGATTTTTATTGATAGATTTGGTTGTAAGGGTGACACACATTAATTGTGATATATATTTACTGTGTTAAAATGTCATAGAGCCAAACCCCCCTGGAACAGCAGATGTCCAGGAAAGGAAGCATGATGCTTATTATTATACTGACAGGAAATAAAGACTTGTAGAGGGATATACATACATATATACATACATACACATATATGCATATATAAATATTTGGGCTGTAAGAGCAACAATTTTAATGTAAATTCTAAAATGCTAAAGTTTCAGAAAAAGACACATTTCTTACAAATAGTTTTCCATTCTGAACTCTGCCTTATACTTTTCATAGTAAAAGCAACCTAGATAAACCATTTAATGCACATGTTCATAAGTAGAAAGTGATACTGGTAATAAATGTATTTTATTCTTTAAAATAAATATTTATAAGCAGAGAAAATACCAGAACTACTTATGCACTCATAAGGAAGATGATTAAACTAAAATAAGGTTGCAGCATTGCTACACAAGGACTTTTGAAATGTTATCCAGTTTTTTTTCTTCAAAGTAGTCCCCTTACCTCAGAGATAAAGGTAAAGGTAAAGGCCCTCCCGTTGATCGTCGATTTGCTCGAGCGGGCCCAGTAACGTCTCCATTGGAGACTTTGTTGTTACTGTGTCTGGCATATCGAATACTCTCGGTAGCTTGCCGGGCTCTCCGAGAGGGGCGGAGGAATCGAACTCGGGTCGGCCATGTTGGCTGCGTGCAAGGCAAACGCCCTATCGCTGTGCTATCGCTCCAGCCCCTCAGAGATGTGGCTAGATAAAACTGTATTTCCAATTTTCTCCGAGCAGCTTTGACCTATGCTTCCATCTCATGAATTCCAAGACAGTATTAAACTGATGCATATTTTCATAAATCTGTTTAGGAAAAGAAAAGGACTCACTTAAGACTAAAAGAAAACTTGTCAGAACAACACATACCCATTTTTCAAAGCTCGTCATGTGCACAATTGACTCTACTGGGGGGAGGGAGTCCCACAAGCAGTGCTCGGAAGGGGCCCGTTCTTGGCAGGAGAGCGGCAGGGGCCTGAGAACATGGTGCTGCTCAGGTGCTGAGGAGGACCCTGACCTCACTGGTGGTGCCTTGGGGTCTCCAGTCTGCAGTCAGCTGGTGAGGCTAAGGGGAACTTGTGAAGATGGGGCTTGCACCAGGGTCAGCCGCATGTAAGCACTGTTATCTCTCAGCTCTAAAAACTAACATGTTCAGTGTAAAAGCAAAGGAAAGTTCTATAGTGCATTAGAAGCCTGTCACTTTGTTTTCCCAACCTCCAGGAAGTCTTCATTTTGAGTATTTTCTTTTCCTACAGTGCCAGAGATCAAATCTAGGGCCTCATGCTTGTGAGGTATGCGCTCTTCTGCTTAACCAACATGTCCAGTCCTTCAGTTTTTAACTTTACAAAGCAATAGCAATTTTGTGGAAAATTTACTCTACGTGAAACTTCTAGATTAATGTAGACTTTGTGAGGAGGAAAAAAAAAAACCTCAAATGGAAAAACTTCAAAGTAATATTAAACTTCCAATTCTGCAATTCTAGTTTATTTATGATTTTCTTTACAAGTCTTATTTAAGCAAATATATGATCATTTAATTTTTATTCTTATTTTCACATTTTAATCACAAAGTTTCGGTAGGTTTCAACTCTGTTACTACTGTCCCATGTATGCTAAGGCAACAATCATAAAACTCAGAGATGGAAAGCACTAAAAATTTATTTTAAAACATGCATGCTGTCTACTTAGAGATCTTAAAAACAATTTCACTGAATGCATTTTGGAGGGGGGGGCTTTTTGGATCACACCCAGCGATGGTCAGGGGTTACTTCTGGCTCATGCACTCAGGAATTACCCCTGGCGGTGCTCGGGGGACCATATGGGATGCTGGGAATCGAACCTGGGTTGGCCGCGTGCAAGGCAAGCGCCCTACCGGCTGTGCTATCGCTCCATCTCCCACTGAATGTATCTTTTAACAATGACTTCATTAAGCAAAAACATTCTATTCATATCTTAAGAGAAAATATTTTTAAACTGTATGAACATTACTTATGTCTTACTGTAAGGGCAAAATGGTTATTGTTTTCAAGTCTATTTAAAAGTATCACTTATGGACTAGAGATATAGCACAGAGGTAAGGTGCTTACCTTGCATGTGGCTGATCCCAATTAGAAACCCGATACCACATACAGTCCCTTGAGCCCCTTCAGGAGTGATCTCTGAGCACAGAGCCAGGACTAAGCTATCTGAGCACTGCCAGGTATGGGTCCAAACCAAAAAATGGAAGAAAGGAAAATTCACAATCAAAAGAATCTTCAGGGGCCAAAAAGCTTTAACAGCTGAGTGCATTCTTTGCATGCAGGAAATCCAGGTTTGATCTCACACACTACATGGACCACCCTGGGCAAAGAGCAGGGATTAGCCCCTGTGTCTTGCCAGGTATATTCTAAAAACAAAAATCTTCAAATATACCGTCTTCAAATCTCGGAGAGCCCGGCAAGCTACCGAGAGTATTCGATATGCCAGACACAGTAACAACAAAGTCTCCAATGGAGATGTTACTGGGCCCGCTCGAGCAAATCGACGATCAACGGGAGGGCCTTTACCTTTACCTTTACCAAATCTAGTAGTATCAAACCAGCTAAGCCAAGTATTAGCCCCCGAACTTCAGGCTCAGGAGGTGGAATACATGCCCTGCATGGGCCAGGCTCTGAGCTCAAAACCAGTCCCACACAGCAGATCCGGTGGTCCCCAAGCTCTAGCACAGAATGTACACTGTAATATAAACTATTACTAAATAATATATATTGTGATCTTATCCTAAAATTAGGCCAGAGCGATAGCACAGCGAGTAGGGCATTTGCCTTGCACGCGGCCAACCTGAGTTGATTCCTCCGCCCCTCTCAGAGAGCCCGGCAAGCTACTGAGAGTATCTCGCCCCCATGGCAAAGCCTGGCAAGCTCCCCGTGATGTATTCGATATGCCAAACACAGTAACAACAAGTCTCATGATGGAGACATTACTGGGCCCGCTCGAGAAAATCAATGAACAATGGGAAGACAGTGCAACAGTGCTATCCTAAAATTATCTCACTTGTTAAAATCTTTGGTACATTAACTGGAAAATTCAAACATCATGCCATTTGGGTTGTAAGTTCTCAAACAAACATTGTAATTTAGGTTAGTTTACCATGACTTCTCCCATAAAGTATGTAACCACATAACACAGAAAGAGAGGTCAATTTATGAACAGATTATATTCTCAATATTCCCAAAGAGCTTTTTGTAAATTGGCTATTGGCTTGATTTTCAAACTCATGTGTGACTTTTTCCCATAAAAGAAAACAAACAATGATATTAAACCCCTACTAGAAATTAACTTTAGTGTACAATTCATAGCATTCCTCTCCTCTGCTTAAGTGCGTTTTCATATCAAACCAAAAGTTCCTTATTGCTGTATCCTAGAATCTAGCACAGTTAATGACATAAGTGGAATTTCAATCAATAGCTAATTTGAGATGTTGAGTAGCAACAGTTCAAGGATATGAAACTAAGTTGTCCAGAAAACCTTACACATCTGAGCTACAGCAAAGAAGAAAAAAGCAAGGGTAAAGGATCAATATAAAAACTATCAACTACCAGCAAAGAAATTACTTTCGCACCTGCATATACTTTTCTAGCAAATGGCAACACTATCTAAACTAATCGCTGAAGTTGAAAATCTTTTTTTTTTTGGGGGGGGGGTTTGGATCACACCCAGCAGTGCTCAGGAGTTACTTCTGGCTCTGCACTCAGGAATTATTTCTGGTGGCGCTTGGGGGACCATATGGGATGCGAGGGATCATACCCAGCCGGGTCAGCCACTTGCAAAGCAAGCACCCTACCAGCTGAACTATCTTTCCTGCTCCTGATATTGGAAGTCTTTTATTTTGTTTAGTTTCTGGGCCGCACTTGGAGATACTCGGGGTCATTCCTGGCTCTGCACTCAGGAATTACTCTTGGCAGTGCTTAGGGGACCATATGGAATGGTAGGGATCAAGCCTGGTCAGGCACACGCAAGGCAAGCACCCTACCTGCTGTACTGTCTTTCTGGCCCTGACATTGGAAATCTTAAGATGACCAGTTCTGTCTCTCTATGCTTCACTTACTATAGCTAAATACTGTCCAATCTAACTGATATATCTTTAAAATCTGTCAGTGTCAACTCCATACATATTATATACTACATACTCAAATTTTTCATGTGGCCTGCCACCATTCTATGTCTTTCACTTTGCCCATGTTTTAAAATTACAACTGTGCTTCATGAAAAGATTATAAGCATCATGTCATTAAGAAAATACCAATTAAAACTATAATGATACTACTATGTACCAACCAGAATGTCTATAATCAAAATGCACAGTAACATAACCAATGTTGCTATGGAATGAAGAAATCAGAATTCTCAAACATTGTTGTAGAAACATAAAATGATGCAAGGCCAGAGAGATAGTCCAGAGGTGAAGGTGTCTGCCTTGCCTGTGCTCACAATGGTTTGATCCTGGCACTAAATAGGGCCTCCCAAACATTGCCTGGAATAACACCTGAACACAAAGTGAGAACTTAAAGGGTGTGGCCCTCAAACAAAACAAAGATTTAAAATGCAGATATTTTAAGAACAGACCAGTAATTTCTTGAAAGGTTAAATACAGTAACCTAAGAGACAGTACAGGGGCTAAGGCACTTGCCTTGCATGTGGCTGGCCCTGGTTTGATCCCTGGCACTGCACATGTTTCCCTAAGCACAGAACCAGGAGGAAATCCTGGACACTGGGTGTGCCCCCCTCCCCCCCCCAAAAAAAATAAAAGATTAAAACAAAAACACCCCCAAGCATCACTGTATCTACACAGCATACCACACTGCTAGGAATGGTCCCTGGACCCTGTAAACACTGCTTGGGTAGCCCCCTACCCCCATTAAAAATTTTTTTGGATTGTTTTTCGGGGGCACACCTGTCGATACTCAGGGGTTACTCCTAGCTGCACTCAGGAATTACTCCTGGTGGTGCTCGGGGGACCATATGGAATGCCGGGATCGAACCCAGGCCAGCTACGTGCAAGACAAAATGCTCTATCCATGTGGTGGCACTGCTCCGGCTGCTAAAAATTTTTTTAAGTTAAATATACACATAAACTCACGATGTGATCTAAAGTTCTTTCTATGGAACGCTACCTAAGAGGAATAAAAATGTGTGTCCACCGAATGATCTCTCTCATATGCAGGAGATGACAAGAACACAGTAGAGGAACAGGATTGTCCAAAGGCAACAGAAACTGAGAAGAGGACTTCAGGAGGATGCACACCACAGAGGAGCGAAGCCGGGGTAAGATGGGGAGGGGACACTGAGACAGTGGTGGAGGGAGAGGGTCACTCTAGGCGACAACGTCCAGATTGTTGGGCATGAAACTGTATTGGTAACAGTACTGCAAACCATGGTATCTTAAAAAAATAAAAATTAAAAAGAAAACCAACCTCCCTGTAACAAAAAAAGGGGAGGAGGAGGGACGCTGAGGACACTGGAAGAGGGAAGTCCACACTGATGACAGATTAATATTAGAACACTGTATGCCTGAACCTTAAGAATGAGTAACTTTGTAAATCAGTGCCTTAAAAAATTATTTTTTTTAAATGTATCTATAAAACTTATAAAGTCATGCTGCTGTGCTTGACAGCACAGGGTTAGTTAAGTTGCTTGACCTGCATACGGCTAACCCAGTTCAATCCCCGCACAAAACAGTTCCCTGAGCACAGAAATAGTAACAGCCCCTGGGACCCAGGGTGTCACCCAAATGTTCCCCTTCCACCTCTCAAAAAAAATCGTATGTTC